TCAGCCATCCACTGTCCCCCACCCCCCACCCCAGTCCTTTTTCTCTTTACTTAGGACAAGGGTCTTACCAAGTTGCCTAGGTAAAACCTTGTACTTTGATCTTCTTGCCTCAGCTTCTTGAGCAGCTAGGATTGCAGGTCTTTACTAGGAGGCCTAGCTGTTTGTGTGATTGTTATTTTGCTATCCAGTTCTGTGTACAGATTCCTAAAAGGTTATGTGCATATGCTTCATGAAAAACACATGTGTATATAGATTTTTATGCTCTGTGCTAGGAACATAAAAATATAGTGCTCTCCAAGAAACTTAGTGTGTCTGGGTTATACCTGTCATCATGCTTGATGATTAACAGAGAATGCTCCCTCAAAGTTCTGTCCTCATAACTCTTATTTATATAATTACCTGGTTATATTTAAATTTCAAATAATACTGACTTAGATTATAGTTAATATAGTCATATTGGCATCAGCTTCATCACTATTCCATTTTTTATTCATAAACAGGTTGAATCATTTATTTTGGACCAAGAAGATTTGGATAACCCAGTCCTTAAAACGTCAGAGATATTCTTATCAAGTACAGCAGAAGGAGCTGATTTACGCACAGTGGATCCAGAGACCCAAGCAAGACTGGAAGCATTGCTAGAAGCAGCAGGTACTCTATTGCTTTTCTCTTTAAAAGTAGATCTTACCAGGAGTGGTGGCACACCCCTTTAATCCTAGCACTTGGGAGGCAGAGGCAGGAGGATCTCTGTAGGACCATGGGCTACATGGAGAGACCCTGTCTTACAATGACAACAAAAAGTGTAGGTCTTTCTTGTAGGTCATATAAGATAATCTAAGGAATATTTGACATATCAAATTTACAATCTCTTGATGTTAATTTTTTCATTTCCGAAAAAAAGTTCACACTGTATTTTAAAAATTCTTGGTTAAATGCAGTGAATAATTTTTTGACTCTTTTTTAAGTTAGTAAAGATATTTAGTTATCAAGTGCATCAGGTACATGAAAAACAGAAGTTAAGTGCAGTTTATAAAATTTTTACTGTATTTGAACTGATTCAGGGAATTCTAATATATTTTACTTATTTTAATTAATGATTGCCTTAATTATAAATAGCTTTTTTATTTTTAAGTGAGCACAGACTAAAATATACCAGGCTACGCCAAACTACTGGTTTTGAAGTGCCAGCAAAGAAAATCTGTGATGGGCCTAATGTGGTGGCTCATACCTATAATACTAGCCCTCTGTAGGGCATCTTTTTTTTTTTTTTCCCTGGACAGCCTGGGCTACATAGTGATTTCCAAGCTAGCTGGAGCTACAGTATGAAACTTTGTCTCAAAAAAAAAAAAAATTTCAGGAGCTGGAGACATGTCTCACATACATGTCTTAGCAGTTAAGAGCACCAGCTGTTCTAGAGGACCTGAGTTCAATTCCCAGCACCCACATGGTTCTCTCAAAATACATAAAACTAAAATACCCATGCACACAAAAAATTGATCCAAATATATGATAAACATGTTTTCTCACTGGGTTTTGTGGTACACATGTGTAAGGGAAGCTGGGCACATGGATCATAGTTACTAATTATAGACTTAAAAAAGAAACAAAGCATACGTAATATGTTTTTCTCCTACATGTATCTGTGTGAGGGTTTCAGAAGCCCTGGAACTGGAATTGTAGACAAACATGAGCTGCTATGTGGGTGCTTGAGCGTGGGTCCTCTGGAAGAGCAGCCACTGAGCTTAACTGCTGAGCCATCTTTCCAGCCCCTATTTATTATTTTATGATGTACAGTTGCTCATTATTTACTGTACAAAGTTTCCATTGCACTGCAATTAAAGCCTTTTATCTTCCCTAAAATACAGAAATCTAGAGCAGGGTGTGGTAGCACAAGCATATAATCCTGGGACACCTGGGACACTGAAGCTAGAGAATTCCTCAAATTCAAGACCATTTTAGCCTCCAAAACAAGAGCTTTTCTCACAAAAACAAAACAAAAGAAGGAAGTCTAGCCACCTGTTGTGGAACATGCTTAAATTCTGTCACTTGGGAGGCTGAACTAGAAAGATTACTACAAATCTGTGGCCACCCTGGAATGTAAAGTGAAATTCTTATTTTTTTCACTGATTTGGTGGCTCATCCCTGTGCTTCTAGCCCTGGGAGACTAAGGTAAAAGGATCAGGCATTGAAGGCTAGCCTTGGCTACATATTGAGCCTATCTCAAAACAGTTTTTTTGGAGAAATTAATATATAAATTTAAATTTACTGTTCATTTAAAATTACTTATTTAATTTTTATTATGTATGTTTGCTTTTCTTTTTTATTTGTGCATATGTATGTATGTACCTGTGCCACATCATGAGTTTAGAGGTCAAAGGATAACTTTCAGGAGTTAGTTTTCTCCTATTACCTTGTAGGTCACTGAAGTTAAACTCAGGTCATCAGGCTTGACAGCAGGTCA